ATGTCTTCCTGTGGCAAGACCAGTAGTCTATGTCCTGTATTCTGGAACAATAAAGGAAAGATTGTGGTCTTCTTCTGTGTGATGCCTTCAGGTTTTCCCTGTCTTTTTCTGAAGGCTAAATATACTTCTTTCCCTCAATCTTCATTTAGGAAACACTGTTTTTAGCCAATAATCTTAATTGCTCTTCCCTGAAACCATTTGAGCTTGTCTCACATTTTCTTGCCCTGTTGTATGCATCCAAAAAGAACATAGCTGACCACTGCTGAATCATGGGGGCCAAGATAGTGGGATCCTTAATCCCATCCCTCAGTGTGCTTATTCTGTTTTATTTAGGGCCATAATGCAGATGATGCTTTTAGCATTGCCAAATCTTGCATCTACTGCCAAATGTGAAAGATACACTAATGGCTTAAGGTCTAGGCCAGACAGTTAAGAGACTGTTAATATCCTGTTGCAGGAAAATAAACACAGACAACCTTTGGAGAAATTTCATCATTGCATTGTAATTTATTCAGAATTATTATGTAATAGCCATTTTAGAGATCAGCGTGGATTTTGGCATAATATTTATCACCCATTTTCTCTTATACAGAAAAACACAGCTAAGTTCATCTTGAACAATGGGGAGCTTGTTGACAAGACTATTTCCTTTAAGACTCCTCTTTTTGAGGAAGCCTGCATTCCCAAACCAAAGATTTCCCTCTCTGCTACATGGATCCAGCTTGGCGTCATCCTGTTCTTTCTAATAGTGCTGGGACTACTGACTTCTACACTCACACAACTTAAAATATTAGTGGCGACAGCATTCTTTCCAAGCACAGACAAGAAACGGATAAAATATCTACACACAAAATTATTAAACAGAAGATCCAAGTTCTCCAAGAAAAATGTGAAAAGGAAACTCAATTCATTTGCAAAGGTAAACTGTAAATAACATGAAATGCAGTGTTGGTTGGGGCAGCACTATTCAGAATCTAATTGTAGAATCCACCAAAAATAAACATCTAAGCCTTATCTGGGATCAATATTTCTTTCCCCACGAATGCCCTAAAGGGAATGTTCATATGGAATTCACTTAGGTACTAGACCCACATTGCTCTGGTAATATCTCTGTACAGAAGTGATGTTTTGACTCACATAGATGTTGTCTCTGTATAAAATACCTGTAGCCATTGTTGCACTGCACATGAGCCTAAAGTTAATCTTCTCTCTTCCTCCATCAGTAATACCTGGCCAGAATGATGAAGGAGAAGAAATGCTTAGTATTCATCTGCTTGAAATGGGTGCAAAACCACTCATAATTTTCCTTTTCTTTCTTCATTAGCTTTTCAATCCTGCTTAGGAGAAAGATACCAAATAAAAAACCCTTATTTTGGAATAAGTAAAACTAACCCTTCTCCTTCTCCTCCTCCCTCTCCTTCTTCTTTTGCAGTTACATTTTTGGTTTCCTATCCTCCAGGCACTGGGAAGTGCCAGGAAGAAAGAAACAGATGTGGAAAAAGAAAACCCTGTTTTACAGCATTAGCCACAGGTTCTTAAACTATTTTGCCTGGTGAAGAGCTCCTGGAACTTCAAAAGTTTGTGCCTGTTTTGCAAAACACTGACTGAAAACCATTAAAGAAATCTATGGCTCTGTGAGTGAAAAATGTATCAAAAACATTTGCTTTTTTCCCCTTATACTGGTTCACTTTTCCCTGCAAAATTGTGCCATTCAGCTTGAGGTTACTCAGTTGAGCAGACTGTTTCCTGACACCCTGTCAAAGTGTTCGTTCCTTTCCATGTATTTAACGATGATGATGATGATGATGATGTAATAATATATTAAATGTATATGCCCCTCCCCCAATTTCTTTCATTACTGTTTTCAGTTTGCTTCCTTATGCCTTCTAAAAAATATGCCCAATTGCTTCTCCTCCACTTTTTGCCCTATTCTGTCGTTCAGATGGGTATTTCCTTTCCTGATATATTATCACCAAGTGTCTTCAATTCCTCTACCTGCTTTCCATTTCTTGTTCTGTTTTCCACAGATGAAAGACCTAATATGAAATGAAGGGTTTTAGTTATTCCAAGCCAATTAGAATTAGACGTCAGTCACCCCTCTCTCTACACATATCCAATGACAAAATGCACATTCTAAAATGCAGTCCTTCCTTCCTTCCTTCCTTCCTTCCTTCCTTCCTTCCTTCCTTCCTTCCTTCCTTCCTTCCTTCCTTCCTTCCTTCCTTCCTTCTTTGAAGCAAGGAAAAAAGACATTTATTTTGTTGTGGAAAATTCCTCAAATCAGATCCACTGCATTTTTTAAAAAATTTAAAAGTCTGGTCCAGTTGTCTTCAGATGGCAAGGCAAGAGCTATGCCAACCGAAAAACAGGTAAGCATTGCAAAAACTGCTTAGGGATGATCCAGCTTTGCTCCAGGCTCAGTAAACCAGAACAGACCCAAAAATCTTATTAAATACATATGAACAGAGCCAAAAAGCTGATTCCATGCCATGTGAACAGATAGAACCAGATCTGCTTCTGGAATCTGCTTCCGGAAAGGTGTTGAATGGACACACCCGGAAAGTGAGTGCAGTAGGAGGACCTAAATATTGTTTTCCAAGATTCAAGAAAATGGGTTGGGGGGGCGCTTTGGATGAGGCCATCACTTAGCTTTCAAGGACAGGCATGTCCTAAGTGACATCTCCAGTTTAATCATGATTGTTTTCACTGTTAGGATTAACTCATGCCTTAAAGCTGTGAACATTTCTTCCAAAGACTGCTGAGTTAACAGCAGTTAAGAAGCTGCATCCTCTTCAAATCAAATAATAATTCATCCTGTCCAGCTTTGCTTCTAACAGACAATCATGGCAGGTGCTCTAAGTCATCTAACCGGATAGCTCTAATTTCTCTAAATCAGACACTAAAAGAAGACTCGAGAACTAGATTATCATGTGCTGGAAAAGCCACAGTGATTTCTCTAGAAGTCAAAGTACATGAACAGAGAGAGGATCTTGCTGCAATTTTCCAAGAGATAGCAAGGATTAAAACACCAATGGGGAGTGCAGAACAGTTTCATCAGATTGGTATATCATCCAGAAATCTTCAGGCATTCAAATCAGGAAGTGCAGGCTAATATGATTCCAAAACAGATTGCATAAGCAGGTCACAGAATAGTTTTCACCTGTTTTGACCTACAGAGAAAGGGGGAAATGATATGATATAAATCTTCAAAAGAAATCAGTCTTCTGCTTGGCAATTTGTCATCTAGTGAGGCAATAACAGAATTACAGCACATAAAAGAAAAAGAAAAAAGAAAAAAAAACCCTCTAAGGATGATAATAGTTTTCTCAGACTCTGCAGCTTTAGACCTTTTTTCTTGGTTAGAACTGGGCCTTCTCTAATGTTAAAGGGGAACAATATTGCTCCCACTAACATTTTTCATCTTTCCATCTCTGTAATTCCAGGAGTTTATCCCAGTCATGTTCTGGCTGAAACTCCACCCTTGTCCTCAAAGAAGACTGGGCGGGGGATCATTTTGCAGCCTTCTTTCTGTGTTTCTAAGTAGCACAAACTCTAGCACCTGTTCTAAGTAGCACAAACTCTACAACACTGTTAAGATAACACTAAATGTGATTGGATGATTCTTTTCGTCTAACCCATTGCACTAGCTCTTCTGAAAAACTGCAGTCCACATCTGAAAGGGTCCCCGGTACTGAAGTAGCTGAAGAAAAGTGTTGGGGGAGAGGGCAGTGGTGTTACCTGGAGGCTCAGAAACCTTCAACCTGAATAAAGTACAATAATCAATAGGCCAATATCTATAGCAGTGTTTCTCAACTTTGGCAATTTTCAGATGTGTGGACTTCAACTCCCAGAATTCCCCAGTCAACCTTAGACATATGGAAGTCAGGTCTTCCTTCCTATTGCCTCTTCAAAAAATGTTGATTGTGTAATCAGGTTTTTACTGAACATCCTACTGCAGGTTATGTACAGGATCTGTAGCCAATACCTGTCTAGTTTGGCTTTCCCTTCCTGTAATTTGTAACTCATTTTTCCTCTCTCAACCCATGAAACCTTAGCTCATTTCAAAAAGCTAAGTGTGATCAAATCAGCTTAGTAACTGGATGGGAGACCATTAGGAAATTACAAGGTTATAGGCTAAATTAAAAAGTTTGGGGGAAAAAAATCCCAGAGAAAGGCAGTTGACTAGCCACTTACTATATTATTGCCAAGAAAACTACATGCCCAAGTCTATGAAGTCACCATTTAACTCAAAGAAATCTTTATCTTTTTTCAAAGAAGCTCATAATGGTAGGATTACCCTATTTTATCCTCATACCAATCTTGTGAAATAGTTTCAATTAAATATTAAATTGCATATTTTGCTGTATCTACACTGAGGAGGGTTAAGATTTCCCTCTCTAGCCATTTATGCTAAAATCCCCTTGCAAACACCATGGGCTAAAGGGGAAGGGCACTCCAGTGGCAGCAAAAGGGTGGAGAAGATTTACCCCTTCCAGAGCAATATGCATTGGTTCTGATCCATATCAGGAACCATCTGCTTATAATGCTAGAAAATACAATTGTAGGGTCTGTTGCCTGGTACATTTATTGCCCAAGGTCACCAAGGGACCTAAGTGGGATCATGACCATTGTGCACAAGAGGAAGGGCTAGGCCAGCTGTTTCTCAACATTATCCTCATAAGGTCATAAGTAAGAACATATCTCTTGCTGGCATCTCCTGAGTGGGAAGAGGCAACAGATCCAAAACCAGGAGAGATTTTAAAAAGTGCTTTAGAATAATCAAGAACATCTTCTGCTGAAATGATTTACAGGGCTCAGAACTTATGTGACTAAATTAATTAGGTCAGAGTCTCTAGAGAACAAGGAGAACTGAGTACTTAACCCTGAAGGTGGGGAGCAGTATTTAAATTGCATTTGTGAAATGGATGATTAATACAAGTCTATGTCATAGTATCATAGTTTGGCAGTCAGAAATTTCAGGAGCATACACAAATGGAAATGAGAAGAACCTCAGTGATACCAAACCATCTTCCAATTTGTCAAAACAATCAAAATCTTTTGGGGGAGGAGGGAAGAGAATATGTACTTCAGGTTTGTACAAACCCTAGAGAAAGAATTCTTGGAATCCCAAGAGACATAATACTAATACAAAAATATTTTGATTTTGGCTTTTCTGTGATGGGCTCCCAAATCATAAGTGTCATTTCTGGAAGGTCTTGAGTTATCTTCTGCATTTTATCTGACTTACATATTCTTACTTCTTACTCAACATCTAGTTGAGATAGTTCACAGTTCAAAAGATATGAAATTGATCTCAGTGCATCATTCAACATACTTTCAGTCCAGTAAAGGAATTATTTGGTAAAGATCTGAGCCTATTCATTCCTGTCTGTAGATAAAACTGGTTTGGACTCAAGCAGTTTCCTCTGAATAAATGAGACAGTTACCTGAAGAACATCAACTATATCAGAAGGTTATTTTGGTTCAGTGCCAAGTGTGATCACTTTTCCCATATATGGTGCTCGCTTGACAGCAACAGGCTGACATTCCTGCAATGACATATTTAATTTTTTAATCTTAATTTTTTTTCTTTTCTTAATGGCGAGGAAGAATGTAAATAAAATACCCAAGCAGCTTGGTGCTTTGCAAGCCAGGCCTAAATATTGAAAAGGAGGAGGAAACTGACAAAACTCTTGTCAATTTTACCTGTACTTGCCTAGACTACTGAGGGAGACCTGCAAGGCCATCAAGGTAGTATCTCCTTTTCAGGACCATACAGAATCATAACCTCTCCCCCCTCCCCTGCCCCCCCCTCCCAAATCCTAGCTCTGCAGACTTTTCAGCTATATAACAATGAGCTGAGATAAATCAAGCTCTGTGTATCGCTGACATCATACACAGAGGTCTGGAGTTGTCTTCATAGAATCATAGAAGTGGAAGAAGCCATTTAGGCTTATAATCAAACTCCCTGTTCTGTGCAGAAATCCAAATTAAAATACTCCCAAGAGATGGCAGTCTAGCCCTTGTCTGAAAAATTCAGTGAAGGGGAGCCCAACATTTATCCAGTTAATTGGTTCCATTGTCACAGACATCTCAAGTGGATGTATTGACAGCATTAACTGCATACACAGAATTACTCTAACAGAATCTCTTAGCTGAAAATAAAGAATTATTGGAACAGTACAAGACATACATAATGAGTATGGGATCCACTAGGGCATCTCTGACAGATGACCATCCAACCTCTGTTTGAAGACCTCCCAGTATTGTACAACAATACTTAATTTTATCTCTAGGCATAACTTCCCCTATATCCTCTATATTTTCTTAACCCAAATTAGGGAATTTTCAGATATATGATTCAAAGCCATAAGAACAGTGGCTTAAGTTAAGAGGCTTAACAAAATTTGATCATTTGTTCTAGCCATTTCATGACACATACTGTACAAAGCCTTAAATATTTTCTTTAATCAACAAAAGAAACAATATATAAGTACACACCTGATCCCGTTGCCAGATCCGTTTGTAAACATATTCAGGGAAAGGGTCACAAGGAATGTATCTCCCCTCTCCTGCTTTGACATGAAAGACTCCACTTTGAAAAGCCACTTTGCCCCGTGAAATGGTCACAAGGGGTACTCCATGGCAGATCATTCCTTCAAATATATTAAAATCATTGGCCTGGTGATGTGTCTTTGCTGAGATTGTCCTGCATTTGAGAGAAGAACAAAGTGATACCAACTGTTACTATGGCTCTTCTGTTTTAATCCAGAATTTAAACCTCCTGAGAACTTTTCAAGGGTGTTAAACAACAACAACAACAGAGAAGCAATTTCAAAAATACTCTTTTAGAAGTTCCACTGAAGTGGACAGAGTTTTAAGTAAGTTACAGTTTTCAGGCACAATCTATTAGGAATGATTTCCTATGAAGGGGACATCTCTCCCCATTTTGAAGCTGCACAGCATGTCTGATGATCATCAATGGGGTTTCTGTAGAAGAACTTTTCATTTTGTCCTCTTTGAGTGTTACAGTTTAGAAGGAAGGAAACTCTGAAATAGTAATATAGTTCACTGAATAACTGAAAATATTCAAATGGAAAAGCTTCCACACACCCAAAGAAAGAGACTGAAAAATGGCTAAGGAACTATTTGCCTGAAGCTCCTTAAATCAATGCTAGTGGAACTAAGTAAGAGTTAAGAAAGCTGACAGGGAGAATAACTCAGAGACAGAGAAGGAAGGCACAGATTGATTGAACAACTACCAGGAAATTACTCAACATACAATAATACAGAGAGAGGGAGGAGGAGGCTCTTAGAGAATATAGGAGTGTTAATAGACTTGTTTCATATAACTCCTGTTGCAAACACCACTTGAAATTTTCCACCTGTGAATTTTCCCTTCAGATATTTTTGACTTCAAGTTCATTTCATAGATTTCTGTAAGACATTTTGAAAATGCTTTTTGGCTGTATTCCTGTGGCAATTCAACTCAGTGCATGCTTTTGGATTAGTTTCAACCTAAATTATGTGACTGATAGCAATACAAAACATTCAGCATGCGGCCCTGCTTGTTTTGACCATTCTGAAAGTATTTTGAGCTAGAAACACTTCCTAAATGGTTGAAACAGCCATCTCAAACTTGGAAAATTTCAGATTTCAAACATTGTCCCATACCTGTGTTTGTGGTGAGAAGACATAATTGAGGAGACCCCTGTGTAAGTTGCCTTGATTTCTCAGAAAAAGGATAAAGTGCAACTCGTATTAATAATAATACATATCTAAAATCAGCAAATGTTAAATGTGGCAAAAAGCCATGATCCCAAAGTACACAGATCTAAAATACTGAAGCACTACTGTAAATATATCAGTGAAAAAAGGAATTAGTCTAGCACAATACTGGATTGTATAGCTTATCCAGGCTCTTCAAATTAAGTAAAGAGAGGTCTTTGAAATAAAATTATAGGGTTGGAAAGGGTAATTAAGGCCACTGGGCCCAACCCGCTGCTCAATGCAGGAATCCAAATGAAAGCATCTTGAACAGATGGATGCCTAATCTCCATTTCATAGTTAGCATCCGGGCAACAAACGGAACAGGCACATGGGTATCCAAGGGGTTATACAGAGGTGTTATATTCTACAAGTGTATCAGCTCCCTCAGACACTGAACTCATGACACCTCTTCTCTTCCAATGGTGTTGTCCCTCACAAATCTGCACCCTCACTGCTTCCAAGGCAGATTTTTCAGACAAATGCAGCTTCCTGGTCCTGTTGAGTACAATGTAGTTCAAAGTTGTGGTATCCTCAGTTTCATTATGGGATAATGCTTTGGAAAGGTTCTTGCTACTTACGTAAGTAGGGAAAAATCCAGTTTAGGAGTTTTAGAGGAATTGAGAAACAATTAGCACGGATGACTCAGTACATGATCAGCTTGTGAAATCAAGTAGAAAGAGGGAACTTCCCAAGATGGGGGCAGGGGACAGACAGCATCCCCAAGATCTTCTCTCAAAGCATATTGGTAATCAGGAAAAGCCTGGCTCCTTTCTTTTCTTTAACTATATCAAACATGCAGGAATAAAGGACCATTGCTTGAACCTGTACAATTTGCAAACAAAAGCTGGACAAAACCCAGTGCCAGAAATTATTCAATGCCCAAATGCCTGGCTTTCTTGCAACTACTACTTCTTCCACAGTTGCCAGCTATGCTTCATTGCATGTTAAAAATATCGTAGATATCACCCATTTAGCCTTCAGGAAGGCCTTGAAGACCTGGCTGTTCCCTCAGGCATTAGGGCAGTGTTTCTCAACCTTGGCAACTTTCAGATGTGTGGACTTCAACTCCCAGAAGGCTGGCTGGGGAATTCTGGGAGTTGAAGTCCACAC